ATCAATGCTCAGCTGAGACTGGTGTGGGCTCGGTACCTAAAGCAGGCTAAGAACCACGGGCCTAGAACACAGTGTTTCTTCCAGACTTTTTTCTCCGGGGGGGGGGGGGGGGGCACTTGAAATTTTCGGGGGGGGGGGGGGGCGGTAGACTTTCTTAGGGGAGGGGGGGCGGACACTGTTAAAAGTAAAAACTCTGCTAGAACAACGCGTCATGAATGGAAGTCGGCAAAATACATAGTGGTATGATGTGAGTTCTGGACGGGATCGATACTGGCAGTTGACGAACAACGTACGACGATCCAATTTAAATGATCAAAGGACGACATTGTTCATTTTCGTTCTTTAATTACATATAATATACACGACTACATCAACGACAGACAGTGTTTCTTCCAGACTTTTTTCTCCGGGGGGGGGGGGGGGCACTTGAAATTTTCGGGGGGGGGGGGGCGGACACCGTTAAAAGTATATATATTCTATATAAATTATATACATTTCATTTCGTTCGGGGGGGGGGGGGCGGTAAAAAAATTTCGGGGGGGGGGGGAGGGGCCGAAGAGATGCCTGGAAGAAACTCTGACGACAGACATGACGAAGATTTCCACACCCTCACACGACAAGACCAAAACTAAGGCTAACTTAAATTATTTCCCCTTACAACCAAAACATATTCTCGCACTTCACACCCTTCCTTGCTTTGTCACATTCAACATCTTTTATTAATATTGCACATTCCACGACATACATACTCTCATACCCTAAACATCTTTTATCAATGCACATTACACTACACACATACTCTCAAACCCATTCAATACACCAAAGTCCATTCACAACACATAGTCCAAAAACATCTAAAACAGGAGTCTCCAAACTTTTCAGCCCGAGGGCCACATTAACTATCAAATAGCAGTTCAGGGGCCGACAACACACTCGAGGTCCAAATTTTAAAAAAATCAAAACATGTATGTTGTTTTAAATTATGTATTTAATATACTCTTATTCACCTATTATTTAATAACACATTTATACACTACACACGAACACCTGTATTAGTGGGAATGGTGAAATTGTTTTCTGGATGCCAGTACAGCAGACATTTCTGGCTTTAGATTTGATGTCCCTTACATCAACACTGACGTAAGATTATCATCGTACAATTTTGTCCCAAATAGTTCTTCACTTGCAAGGTTTCGCTGCAAATCACACACAATACTTTCTCGCCAGATTTGATGAAGAAGTATTTCAAAATCCATTCTTCTTGAAATTCCCGATAAACATCTTCTATTTTTCTTTTTCCTTTTCTTGGACATCGCTGGGCACTAAGATAAAGTGAGTCCCGTAGTCAAAAGGATCTCCACCAGTGTTTCTTCCAGACTTGAGATTTTCGGGGGGGGGGGGGGGGGGGGGGGCGGTAGACTTTATTCGGGGGGGGGGGGGGCGGACACTGTTAAAAGTATATATTTTCTATATAAATTATATAAATTTCATTTCGTTCGAAGAGATGCCTGGAAGAAACTCTTATCTCCACGGACCGAATGAGAGGGCCTCGCATGCCACATACGGCCCGCGTGCCTTAGTTTTGGAGACACCTGTCCTAGAACATTGTATATTTTTTAACTTCCAGCCCTATCATAGGCCATGTGAAGAGTATCGGTCTCATCCTGTCTAAATCCTCGTCTTTAAAACTAAGTCGAATATCGTCCCATTGCCTAGTCGGTATTCGTGACGTTTGAGTATCGAATACGAGCAGTTTTTTAATTCTTGGGTAAATATCGATCCTGTCCACCCTGTTCGCTCGACTCACGTCAAACCCAATGCTTGTTGACAGGGATAGAAAAGCCAGCTTGACCAATGGCCATGGGTTGGAGGTGATATCAGAGATTAACGACCTGGCTTCGGGAGATATCTTGGAGAATACCGGAAGCGTCTGCAGCTTCTGAAGCTCCGATATATCCGTTAGTTCCATGCAGGTGTTAGCCAACAGGTACCTCGCCACATGTGTATAGCCCAGAACTAAAGCGGTAACTAAAGGGGAAATACGGTAAAAAGTTAAACGCGCCGGTTCTTGCTTGAGCTTCATCGTTAAGTATTCTTTTAGTAGACAGTTACAAGTTTCTGGTAGGTAAAAAATGTGATTTGGTACTATCCCGTGAAACAGCAAAACGCGAAGAACATTTGGTTTTTCACATGCTTTTATAAAACACGCTGATCTGTTGCTTAAATGTTTTTGCAATGTCGCGTTAATGAAATGGGTTTCGCCTTCATCTAAAAGCAGGTTCTTATTTCGATTTTCTTCGATACTTCTTATGTACAGAGCAGAAGGTATGTTTCTTCTATAATTGTAGGCGGAGTAGAATTCATAACGACGGATTGGTGTATTCACTAAAAGCGTGAAAAATGAATCGCCTTTTAGGTTAACTACTTGAACGTCCGCACCATGATGGACTAGTTCAGAAAATACTGAAGGGCTACACTGGGCGGTAGCTACAGCATGTAGCAATGCAGTATTGCCTTTAGTATCCTTAATGTTGATATCTTCCCCTTTTAAAATCCCAACCAGTTCACACGGAAAAGGAGTAAACGGTAGAAACGACATCATAAGGGCTGTTAAACCATCATTGTCTTGAAGGTTTACATCGGCTCCGAGTGCTACTAAATCTTTGATTTGGACCACAAGGTTTGATACAGCCGCGTACATCAAAGCGGTCCTTCCGTCTACATCTTGAGCGTCTACTCCACAAGGAATCAACAAGCTCATTATTTCTTTACTGCAAGCATGTCCAATATTCTTCAATGACTTCATTAAAGCCGTCTGCTTGTTTACATCCCGCTGCGTTAGGTCAGCGCCATTTTGTATTAAAAACTCAACATCACGTGACTTTCTCGCGTGCGCCAACGCTGTTTGACCTATCTCGTTCTCCATGTTAACTGACCTGCCTACTAAACACTTTAAACAATCTGGCGACATTTCTTTACCCAAAGCCATCATCAACGCTGTCGTTTTTCTACGATCCGTTCTTTCAACTACCGCGCCAAGACTAACAAGAAGCTTAACGCAGTCTTCGGAGCCTATATCAACGGCATGCATGAGCTCAGTATATCCACATAAATCAGAAGCGTTGCTGTTGGAATACAAATTTCGCACAACATCCAACTCAATCTCCGAATTTTGAAGATAGTACATCAAAGCTGTCATGAACTCTCTGTCTTGATAAGATCGGGCTTTGTTATCTACGTAAGGCAACAGCGTTTTAATCAAACGAGGTTTATACTGAGCGGCGTAGATTAAAGCTGTTTTATAATACCTGTCATGACAAGACAAGTCGCCCCCTACTAAACACGTGATAATCTCTTCGGATATGTCTTTTTTGGAAACCAGAGCATGGATCAAAGCCGTTTGACCGGATTCGTCTTGTATAGATACCGACTCACCACAAAGGAGTTGAACGCATTCTGTAGAGATGGTTTGAGTAGTGTTGTTGAACGGTAAACTGCTGCGAAGGTACTCGTTGAACACGTGCATCAGCGCGGTACCACCTTCGTGGTCGAGTTGGTTCACATCCGCGCCGTAGCCTAGCAAAACCCGGACCGTTTTAGCACAGCCGGTTTGGGCGGCGTACATTAAAAGCGTGTACCCTCTACTGTCCTTGGAATTAATGCCGTGCGCACTGCACTTTTTCATCAACTTTGAGCAGGTTATAAGATGATCATTATACTGACGTGGGTTTGTTGCTTTACTCGTATCCCAAAACGCACCAAATTGCACCAACTTTTCTACTATACCACTTTGGCCATTCTTACAAGCGAGGCTAAGAGCTGTGTGTTTAGATTTGTTGACTAAATTAGCATCTGCTTTCATCTCCAGCAGATATTGAACACAATTCATCGACCTCATCTTCACAGCTATCATCAACGCCGTGTTGCCTTTTAAATCTGTAACGTTAACATCAACCCCAGCAGTAACCAAAACTTCAACTCCGTTTTGAAAATCTGCTTCCACGCACTCAAAAAATGCCAAGTTCAAAACCGTCTTGCCTACGTTCAGTTTGACCAATGTCCCTAATGCCGTGACATTTTTGGTCTTCACCGCCATCTTGAACACCTTATCTGCGCATGCGCTATCACTCACTTGCATGCCGTATTTAGCCATCAACTCGCTTACTTCCTCCGGTGTATGCGTCGACGCGGCAATCACAACAGCATTGATGTTCTTACTTTTAAAAAAACTCGCCATCATGGAACTAGTTTTAAGACCATACCATCTTCATTTAGGGGTCGTCCATAAATGTCACTCATAGATTGGAGGGGGAGGGGGGGTCGTTATTATGTGATGATTTGTGATGAGGGGTCATATAGCGTAAAGTCACATTTTTGCATTTATAGAAAAGTAATGCTAGATGCTGAACTGTAGCCGTTAACTCGTTTCAATAATTTGTAATAGAAAGCGGTTAATTTACTCTATTTTGACATAGCTCAGTCAGTATTAATATTTAAGGAAAAAAAAATCAATTAAAAAAAATATTAGCAATTTTTGAGGGGGGGGGGGGGCGTCATTTTTAGGGGAAAGGTATGGCTTTTTGTTGAGTGGATAGTTAAAAAAAAATCATTTTTAAAAGTGTGACGTCATTTATGGATGATCCCTTATATAGAAAAAGTTAACAATTAAAAGTGTTAACAATCCAATCAGTTTACAAAATGTCATGCAGCAAATTCATTTAGGCATGAAGTTGACGGCGTAAACAGTTTTGTGAGTTAATGGCGACATGACATTAGGCGTATTGGTTTTCGTTTCGGTGGCGACGTCATCGACTGTCAATTTGAGTTTAACAGTGACGTCATTAGCATCCAATATTTATGATGAGTGGTGACAAAATTAGGTGTTTCTGTAATTTTAGTAGTGACGTCATCGGGCGCTAATTTTTACGTGAAGCCGCCTTTCAATGTAATACAGCCCGTGATTCTGTCAACTTTGCTACAAAGTGTCTTTAGAGGCCTAC